AGTCAGGCTTCTGGCAAACTCAGCCATTCAAACAGAGCCTTACACTCGGAAGTGAAAAGGCTGCCAAGCTAGAAAATAAAACGAAATCCAGTGCCTGAGACTCTCATGTCCATGCATTTTACTCCATGAGTCTAGTATTCTGCAAATGTAATTAAAGTTAAATATAAATCAGTATTTAAATTTGTTAGAAGTTACTTTTTCCCCCGTTTGTTCGATATCGAATCAAGTTGTTGGAGATGTGGGGTAGAAGAAGGCATGACTGGCTTCCCTGGATTTGATTCACTGAACAATGACAACATGCAGTCAAAGTAGAGTCAGAAAAGTTTCCAATCAGCTCTGGGACCATTTATTTAGTGATGAGCAAGTGCCACCATCTGCTGTAGTATTTGTTCTATGCATTCATTCATTTACTCATTAATGGATGAATTAGTCAAATGCGTTTGATAATATTGAATCATTATATAAAGACTTGTTAAGTATATAAGAACAGGTAAGGATACAATAGATCATAGAAAGCTTTTCATATAAAATGATTTAAAAAAGGTGTTTAAAAGCTTTGCTATTATAGAGTTAAGCATCAAATATTTTGTAAAATTCATTTATATGAAATTCTTAGTTCTCCACTGATGCAGGCTAAATGAGTCAGTACTACAAAATATATTGGATTTTTCATAATTCTTCAACCTCCGAGATAATCAGCTCTTACAAAACCTGGGGTGAAGAAACTGGGTAAAAGCTCTTCCATGAATATGTAATTAACTCCAGGTTCCTCTCTCCCTTTTCCTTCTCCTCTTTTGGCTTGAGCAGCATGACTGAAGGGCTGGGCCAGTTGACCGATGGGGTGTCTGGCCTGGATGATTTCACCCAGACCCATGAGTACCATGTGTGGCCAGGCTATGACTACGTGGGCTGGAGAAATGAGAGTGCCACCAATGGTTACATCGAGATCATGTTTGAGTTTGACCGCATCAGGAATTTTACTACTATGAAGGTCAGTGGAGTTAGGCGTAGAAGCCAAAATCATGGTGTAGGGAAAAAGCATGCTGGAAAGAACCCTAGGGTGGTGCCAGCAGAATGGCATTCAAGCACATATTCTGCTGCTAGCTAGCTGCATGCATTTCTTGAGTCACTTCATCTGTCTGGGCTTGTTTCTTCATTTGTAAATAAGGATGTTAGATTAGGTCACTGTTTCACAATGTATTTGGCTGTTGTTGTCTCAACGCCAGAGTGGACATATCCATTATGCAAAGTGGGCACAGTGTCTGGGACCCACGATACTTGTAAGGCCCGTGGAAATGGGCCTTTAACTTCTTTTACTGTCAGAATAAAAGACATGAGCCTTAACGTTGAAAGTTTTTACCTTTTTAACAAAACAGTTGTAAAATATAATTTTAACATACTTTTTGTGGAGGGAGTGGCCCACAAAGGCAGTAGTGATGAGGGCCCTTGGAAGTCATTCCATGGCCCCACCCAGCACTCTGCAGGGAGGGGACACACTCTTATCAGTAAGGGTGTCTCATTGCAGCTCTGATTCTCAATGGAAGAAGAAGGAGCTTTGTATTTTGAACCACTTCCCATCCCTGAGTGCTTCTTCCATGCCCACAGCACTAAGAAATCACGACAGAAGATCCCATACTGTTCTGTTCCCAGAGTTCTTTGTTTCCTATCTATTATCATTTATCTGTCTATGTGTCTGGTTCTCTTACTAGACCTCAAGCTCCTTCTCAGACTCTGCTTTCTGGTCTTTGTACCCAAGCGTCTGACACTTAATATATACAGGCTCCATAAATGTTTGCAAGTGAACAAATGATATACTTTATTGCCTACTCTAGCCATTTATGGTTATAAATATCTCTGCCACCTGGGGTAGAAGGAGGAGGAGATATGATGAACATCAGTAAGACACTGAGAATATAATAGTATTTTCCTAGCTATAAACAAAAACTTGAAGAAGGACTGGGACCAGGCAGGAGGAATCACTGTGACTCCTGGCTGGGCCACCATCCGGATTCTAGACCTCAGGCCCAGGGTTTCAGTTTGTCTTCTCTGTGGGACCTCCGTGACTCTTTGCCCAGTCAGAGGAGTTGGTTATCCAATGAGTGAGATTCAAGGGTGAAATGAGGTGGTTTTTCTAAGGCCTCAAATGTAAATTATTAGGTTTTTGGGTTTGTTTTTTCTGAAACACCGTCACCCAGAAGTCTTTATTAAAATGCAAGTATTTTACCTCAGGGAGAGTAAAACAATAAAAAAAATTAATGTCTTAAATGCAGTAGCAGAAGTTATTTTATCAGTTAACTATTACAGAGTAGTTAAGAGTGAGTAGGTAAATTTCATTGAGTACTTGGATGGAAGCTGAAAGACCTGGGAGAAGCCCAGACTGGGTGTGCTCTGGGGAGAGGTAAGTGCAGACCATGAGAAGAACTGGAGGGGGGGACTTAAGGCCTGATTTCCATTTTCTCTGGGGTAGGGCCTTTCAGGAGAGCCTACCCTGGATGTAAGGGTTGAGGACCTCTCCGTTGGTATGGTGAGTTTCCTGATACTTAGCTCAAATGATAGTTTTTCCTTTTTTCTTACTCAATCCCAAGTATGTTTCAGAGAGAAAGGAATGGAAGAAAAGTCCCTGCAAAAAGTGACCAGATTAGACGTTCCACCTGAATTCTAGGTTCTGGGGGTAAACAGATGAATAAGAAATGGTCCCTACCTTGGGGCAATTTGCAGTTCAGTGGGGGAAGACACTATTTATTTGCAAAAGAAGGTGTGTAGAATGACATGGGGACCCTGAAGAAGGGAAACTGTATCATTCCCAATAAATAAAAATTTGTTATTCTTGGCACAAACCTGGAGTCAAAAAGAAAGTGCATGTCTGCTCTATCACTCTCACATGTTAAGATGATAATATCTCCCAGTTGGATTAATAGCTATTAGTTAAACGATGAGAACAGAAGGATCAACACAGACCCAGTCTGCCAGTGTGTTGCTCGGAATGGCTCTTGGGAAGCTGTAAAACGTGTGTGAAATCGTGTGTTAACACATTATTCTTTACAGGTTTATGGGGGGGGCGGGGTGGGGGGAAATATGCCCAGTAACAAAACTATGTATGCTTCAAGGAAAAATTTATTTGTATTGCTGAATAATGTGTATACCCAATATGTACCTATGAACATGGGTATCAATTCACTATAGATCATTGGGAGAATTTCTAGTCACAAAAAGAATAAAATGTATTTTAAAGTCCCCATAAAGTTATAATATTTGCTCAATTGCCTTTGATCTTCCTGAGTCCCCAGGAGCTCCTGTTTAACTAGTTTATCACAGATCAAAATTATTCAAAAGCATATGTCTGCATTTAGAAGGTGCCAGAAACCTCTCAGGAGCTGACTCAGAGCTAGTCTTCTCAGGACTAGCAGGCCAAGCAGGTGTCTACCATATTTTAATTTTTCTGAGACAAATGAAAAGTAAAAGACGACTTTCAGGTCACTGAAGTCTTCTAGAGAGTAGTTTTTTACTTCTTAGGCAAAGTACTGCGTATTTCCCTCCCTGATCTGATTATAGTTAAAATACAGCATTTAAAAGAAAATCAACAACCCAATCCAAAAATGGGCAGAAGACCTAAATAGACATTTCTCCAAAGAAGATATACAGACTGCCAACAAACACATGAAAGAATGCTCAACATCACTAATCATTAGAGAAATGCAAATCAAAACTACAATGAGATAACATCTCACACCGGTCAGAATGGCCATCATCAAAAAATCTAGAAACAATAAATGCTGGAGAGGGGGTGGAGAAAAGGGAACCCTCTTGCACTGTTGGTGGGAATGTAACTTGATACAGCCACTGTGGAGAACAGTATGGAGGTTCCTTAAAAAACTACAAATAGAATTACCATGTGACCCAGCAATCCCACTACTGGGCACGTACCCTGAGAAAACCATAATTCAAAAAGAGTCATGTACCAAAATGTTCACTGCAGCTCTATTTACAATAGCCCGGAGATGGAAACAACCTAAGTGCCCATCATCGGATGAATGGATAAAGAAGATGTGGCACATATATACAATGGAATATTACTCAGCCATAAAAAGAAANNAAATTGAGCTATTTGTAATGAGGTGGATAGACCTAGAGTCTGTCATACAGAGTGAAGTAAGTCAGAAAGAGAGAGACAAATACCGTATGCTAACACATATATATGGAATTTAAGAAAAATATGTCATGAAGAACCTAGGGGTGAAACAGGAATAAAGACACAGACTTACTAGAGAATGGACTTGAGGATATGGGGAAGGGGAAGGGTAAACTGTGCAAAAAAAACAAAAAAAAAAAACAAAAAGATCCAGCACGCGGCAATAAAGATCCCACGTGGTGCAACTAAGACCCAATACTGCTCAATAAATAAATAATTTTTTTTTTTTTTTTTTTTTAAAGAGAAGGAGCCATTAGGGCTAAAAGATGTATGCTTTTATTTTATTTTTTTTCCCCGTACGCGGGCCTCTCACTGTTGTGGCCTCTCCCGCTGCGGAGCACAGGCTCCGGAGGCGCAGGCTCAGCGGCCATGGTTCACGGGCCCAGCCGCTCCGCGGCATGTGGGATCCTCCCGGACCGGGGCACGAACCCGTGTCCCCTGCATCGGCAGGCGGACTCTCAACCACTGCGCCACCAGGGAAGCCCTACGTTTTTTAATTATTTTTTGGCTGCGTTGGGTCTTTGTTTCTGCAAGCAGGCTTTCTGTAGTTGGAACGAGCGGGTGCTACTCTTCGTTGCAGTGCGCAGCCTTTTCATTGTGGTGCCTTCTCTTGTTGTGGAGCACAGGCTCTAAGTGCTCGGGCTTCAGTAGTTGTGGTGCACGAGCTCAGTAGTTGTGGCTCGCAGGCTCTAGAGTGCAGGCTCAGTAGTTATGGTGCACGGGCTTAGTTGCTCTGCGGCATGTGGGATCTTCCCGGACCAAGGCTCGAACCCGTGTTCCCTGCATTGGCAGGAGGATTCTTAACCACTGCGCCACTAGGGAAGTCCCAGATGTATGCATTTTTAAACCCTGAATGAGATTCAAATCTGGCAAGATCCAAAGCACATTCACAAATAGCACACCTGACTCTTGAGGACTCACAGCATCGGACGCTTAAGATCTAAATATACAAATTTCTCCAGGTAAGTTTTGAACAGGAGCTTTAAAATTTCCATTAATGCCAACCAAGAAAAGTAGCTGGCTTGAATTTATTGTGTTGTGTTTTTTTCTCAATTTTTTGAGACATGCAGATATTTAACATTTATAGTTTAAGAAACAAGATAAAGGCTTAAAAGCAAACAACTTGGTTAAATGAATTTCTGAAGATTTAGAAGTGATCATTCTAACGATGTACACCTCAGGAGAATGCATGCCTACGGATGAGTGAGTAAGGGGAGGAAGGAAGCCAAGTCTAAATAATACGCTACTGACAGGAAATGCAACAAAGTATTTGAAATACAGATGATCACCACTTACATGTGGCTTCATGCTGTAGTGGGTCCACTCTAAAACATTCAGGTCAATATTTCTTTTGGTCTTACTTTCATCCTGTAAATACTGACTGAGAAAACAGCAAAGAAGGAATATACTGATGAATCCCTGTGGAGACTTAGCAATATGACTACAAAGACATCGTGATGTTTAATAGACCTGCCATTCTCAAAGCCATCTCTGTTAGATATTTTTAAATATGATTGTTTTTGGCTTTTTACATTTTATTTTGTGTTTTTTTCTGATTACAAAAATTGTATATGGTTATATTTTAAAAATTAAAACATAATATATAAAATGCAAAAGACCCCACAATAAACACTATGGAAATATTTACTATTAATGGTTTGCTGTTTGTTCTTCTAGTTCTCTACTCCACCCCATTTTAAAACACATTTTATTCTATTAAAAAAAGTACTTCATTCTATAACTTGCTTTTTCTCACTTAAAAATAGATATAAAACAAGACATCTGGCCTGGAGTCTTAAAAAGAAAAGGCACTGCCATGGAAAACAAAAAAAAATGTAGGAGACTATTCTAAACTAAGGGAGACTAAAGAGACATTACTTACATGCATGAACCCTGACTGACTTCCTGGATTAGGAAAAAAAGCTATAAAAGATACCTGACGATATCAGAACATGAATCATATATTACACATTAGTGGTTGTCAACTTTCTTAAGTGTGATAATGGCATTGTGGTTATGTAAGAGAATTTCCTCACTCCTAGGTGATATATACTTAAGTATTGAGAGTGATTTAATTTTATCCAAATCTCCAGAGGGTTATCAAATTGAACACAGGCATCTCAGTTCTCATCCTAACCTACATAAAAGGGAAACCAGTGCTATGCTAGGGCATGCGCTCACAACGGGAGCAGCAATATCACCCCCAGAGAGGTGAAAACTGGTTCTTAGAAGGCAAAAATCTTAGATATTTCAATGGTTTGTAGCCCTTTAAAGCTCAACCCAACAAACAAAAAAAGTCTCTTCCTTAATACTATTTTCTCTTGTCATGGAGAAATTAAATTAAAAAAAAATTTGGAGTGGGGAGGTGATAATGAAAAAAATTGAGAAAAGTTGGACTAGGGGCATCAGGAAAGGGAGGGGGCCTCAGATACCCAAAGAAGCTGAGCTCTTCATATATTAAAAAAGAGAGAGAGAGGGGGGAAAAAAAAGTATGAATGTTATAAAAGTATGTTTTTTTGGTATCCTATTATAAGCAACAGACAAAATTTTGCTGTATGATTCCAATGAAAACATTCTTAAGTATGTGATTATATGTATGTGTATGTGCACACGTATGTATGTATGCACATTTTACATACATCTTAAGCAGAAAGGACTAGAAGGAGATAACTGCTTTATAAACAATTTGGTGTATCTTATGATTTTAAAAAATTTCTTCTCTACATTTTTTATTCAAGATAAACACCCATAAATAAAAAGGATCTTTTACACTAAAACAACATCAAAAAAGAAAGAACTGAATTATTGTTAACTTTTCTTCACATCACTCAACAAGAGTTCCTTACTAAAGTATCCTTATTAAAATTATCCAAGTATCCTTACTAAAATTAAAAACTGGAACCTGCAATTGCTTCCAGTGAGCATAAGTGTTTCAAAATAGACTTATTTCACTGATTTGCTTCCTCTCTGTGAAATTCTTGTCATCACTTTACATAGCTAATAGATGGCTATGCTGTAAAGGCAGGTTTCTAGCAATTACTATTAAAACAGTTACCTACAAACCATGTTTTAACTTAAAAATTACCTCCAGGTTCTATGAGATGAACCAAACCATCATGGAAAGCACAGAGACATCAGTGAGTAGGCTTAAGAATTCAGAGAACTAATGTATCAATCCCAGAGAAATCTAATTCAAATCACAGGATTCTCATCAAATATATTTTACATTATAACATATGACAAACTTGTTTTCAGTGACGCCATTAAATAAGATTTCTCAGTTAAGATCAGATTTGGGGGTTATTTTTAGACAAAAAGATGGATTCAGGTCAAGTTGTGAACAACTAGGAAGAGAGCTCTCACTACACATTAGACTACCATCCACCAGAGGATGGAAAGAAGAAAGACCACTTAACAAAGGGCACACTGAGGCAACACTGAAGTTTTTAAGCCTTTACTTACAGAAGAATCTCACAGATCCTGTGGCCCTTTTGTCCCATAGAATCCAGATATTTAAGACACTTTTTTCTTAGGTCTATCACCTATAATGGAAAAATGCAACATCCAGAAACAACCATCACAAAAAATGAGAATTTTATTTCTAAAAAGATAAGCATTTAAAAAAATATATGTACCAACATGAATGGATTTCTAAGACACATTTTTCATAAAACATCACAGATGATATGAGCTCCATGTCTCTAAAATTATATTTTTCTATTGCTAGAGAAAGGCATAGAAACTTATTCCTTAAAACATTAGTGGTCCTCTCAGAGTGCTGAGACTTTTTTTTTGCCTTTTTCTTTATACCTTTACTACAATAAACCCGTTATCATCTTATAAACAAAAGTAATAAAATAACCCACGTGTATTAAAATTCCTATTAAAAATCAAAGCTCCTCCACTACAGACTGTCTTGTAGCTTTCTAAGTTGTTCAACTCAAGAACTAAGAAGGGACTCTGCAGAGTATGCCTTTAACATATACTACAGGACTCTCACTAGACAGAAGAGTCGCCTTCATTACCAGCACACTTCATTTTATTGTGCTTTGCAGACGCTGCATTTACAAATTGAAGGTCTGTGGCAACCCTGCATTAAGCAAGTCTATCAGCGTCATTTTTCTAACAGTGTTTGCTCACTTCACGTCTGTGTGCCATATCTTGGTAATTCTTCACATTTCAAACTTTTTCATTATTAATATACTTGTTATGGTGATCTGTGATCAGTGACCGTTGATGCTATTGTGAAAAGATTACAGCTCACTGAAGGCTCAGATGATGGTTAGCATAAAAAGTATTTAGCAATAAGTATTTTTTAGTTAAGGTATGTAGATTGTTTTTTAGATATAGTGTTATTGCAGACTTAATAGACTACAGTGTAGTGTAAACATAACTTTTATATGCACTGGGAAACCAAGAAATTGATGTCACTCTCTTTATTGCGATATTTGCTTTACAGTGGTGGTCTGTAACTGAACCTGCAATATCTCTGAGATATGCCTGCATTTAACAAAACAGTCATTATCCAAACTCCAACAATTAAACCTCTCGACTTACCACCAGGCTCCAATGTACCTTCCGATGAATAGGCACCAGAATAAGTTCCTGTTCAAAGAGATTGACCCCTTTGGTCCATCTTTTCACTGCTTGGTAACCCCCAGACTTTAATTTTGGATAGAAGAAAGTACTGAATGCATAAAGTGCTGGATACCCTTGTTTTTTATTTCTTTCCACCAGGAGATTCATGTAAAAATTAATGACCTGTAATATCAAGAGAGTAAATGTTGGAATATGGCAAGTATATTATCAAAACTAGATTTCTACCTAACTCAATTAGGATGAATTAGAAAATAAGCTGAGGGAAGGGAAGGCACTAAGGAAGGGGATAAAAGGGCTGTCTATGACAGAAGATGGAAAACAAAAAATGATCAGTGCAGGGACTTCCCTGGTGGCACAGTGGTTAAGAATCCACCTGCCAATGCAGGGGACACGGTTCGATCCCTGGTCCGGGAAGATCCCATAAGCCGCAGAGCAAATAAGCCTGTGTGCCACAACTACTGAGCCTGCATGCCACAACTACTGAAGCCCACGCACCTAGAGCCCGTGCTCTGCAACAAGAGAAGCCACCGCAGTGAGAAGCCAGTGCACCGCAACAAAGAGCAGCGCCCGTTCACCGCAACTAGAGAAAGCCCGCACGCAGCAACAAAGACCCAAAGCAGCCAAAAATAAAATAAATAAAATAAAATAAATGTATTTAAAAAAAAATGATCAGTGCAAAATGGGAGGGATTAAGAAGGAATGAGACTGTACTTTTGAGGCATATGAGTAAGAGAGATAAGAGAAAGAACTCAAGGAGAAAGTCTGCAACAATGAAAATGTATATGTAACTATATCACACACAAAATATGCAAAAATATTAACTGGAAGTGAATTTTACTATATATAAATTACACCTCAATTAAAAAAAATTAAATGGAAGGAAATACACCAAAACATTAGTATTTTGTTTATTTTTGAGTTGTGCCACTTTCAAACGATAATGTTTTTCCTTCACTTTTCCTGTATTTTCTAAATTTTCTATAATAAACATATTACATTTATAATGTGAAACAGAAACATTCTAATTTTACAAGAATGTGTTTATATGTCACTAGTTATAGCGGGGAGGAAGGAAGGCAAAGGGAGAAAATGCAGGGGCTGAGCAGCTGGGTAAAGAACCAACTGGGAAATTGGCAAGAACCAAGAGCTAGCTTTAGCTAAATATATAAGGATACAAGATGACAACTGGGCAAATTTTACAGTTATCACTCAAATGAAATAAAGAAAAAAATCACATAGTGTACATACAGTGATCAATATATCCCTTTATTATTGAAAAAATAAACTGGCTCCTATAAGAATTCATCTAAAATAAAGTATCACTTGCTTCCTTCCATTTATCACTTGCACCCAGGATTTATGAAAATCTCACTTAAGACTAGTAAGTGGTGGATGAAACAAAGCACAAATGCAGAAGAGGGAAACATTGCTAATTAAAGGCAGCAAACAATCAGAATTAATCATGTTTTTAAGGTTTAAGATGTTTTTGTTTTAGAAAAACTAAAGCTGCTTTACCAGCCCCTTTTAATTGTGTAGAAACCACTATGGTTACAGACAGAAAATGACTAAGCATAATGATAGTCAAAGGGGGAAATAAAGACAACTTACTTCATCATTGAGCCAGTGATAGTTCTTCAAGGTCTGGATATCTCCTCGAGTGATTCGTAATTTGAAAGCACTACTTAGGATCTCATCCTGTGGGCCATGGCCTAGAGCATTACTGATTTCCTTTTCCATGTCCTGAATTACAAAGTCCAGAGGTTGCTACTTTAATATGGAACCACTATCAGATACTGAAAGTCTGAGATTGAAAAAAGCTTTTCAGGGCTTCCCTGGTGGTGCAGTGGTTGGGAGTCCGCCTGCCCATTCAGGGGACACAGGTTCGTGCCCCGGTCCGGGAAGATCCCACATGCCGCGGAGCAGCTGGGCCCGTGGGCCATGGCCACTGCGCCTGCGCGTCTGGGGCCTGTGCTCCGCGACAGGAGGGGCCGCAACAGTGAGAGGCCCACGTACCGCAAAAAAAAAAAAAAAAAAAAAAAACTTTTCATCTCTGTAATACCTGACCCTTAAGAAAAATAGATTATCAAAGACCTACTAAATTGAAGTAGGAAAGAATTTCAATTTAGGAGCACAAAGCAATCTTACTACTAATGCTTATAAAAAATGCTAGTTCAATTATTAACTTCTGAAAACAATAATTTGATAATAATATTTAAAGTATACTCTCAATTATCCCACTACCATGTGGGATACATGAGCCAAACATGTACCAGATGCTTGAAGCACACCACTAATCCCTGCTTGTGGGGAAAGTATTATCACCATTTTATAGAAGAGGTAAAGCTCAGAGAATTTTGGTTACATGGTCAAAGTCATATAATGATTAAAAGGCAGAGCCAAGATTTGAACCCAGGAGTGTCTAACTCCTTAGCCTTTGCTCCTTTCACAATACTATAAAAGCATTTTCATACTTTCCTTATCTACCTCCTGAACTTTTATTATAAAACATCAAAGTAATAAAATTAGGAATCAAAGAGATCATTCTATCTACTTTTGACATGAAGAGAGTAAGCAGAAACTAGAAAACTAGGCAGCAGTCTAGCAACTGAGTCCTTATTGAATAGATGGCATCATTCTAAAGAATTACAAAGAGAAATGCATATTTAAGCTATAAGCCTGAATCTATAAACCAAATAGAAGTTATTTCATCCAAATATTTTCAATACTGCTCCCCCCCCACTAAACACAATTTTGTAATTTTATGGATCTCTCTCTCTCGACCTGCATGCCCAACATATAGTAAGTGCTCAATAAATATTCACTGAATAGGACTGACTACCACAACAATGGAGGAGTCAAGATGTGGGCTCACCTTTAAAATGAGAATTTTTAACTACCTTCATTTCCTTGTTTTCTATAAGTTTTTACTTACAGAAACGTTTCAAATACAATAATCATTGAACGGGACATTTTAGTGAACCATAATCGCTTAACAAAAACCTCAATGAAGGGGAGTTCCCTGGCAGTCCAGTGGTTGGGACTTGGCGCTTTCACTGCCTGGGCCTGGGTTCGATCCCTGGTTGGGGAACTGGGATCCCACAGGCCATGCATCTCGGCCAAAAATAAACAAATAAAATTAAATGTTTAAAAAAAAAAGAAGAACTGCAATGAACTTCTTCCTAATGTCAAACCCATACAGTGTAACTCAAAATATTTTAAGTTTAGAAAAAGAATCTACAAAGAACCCATTATATTCCAAGATATGTGACAATCCTGTCTACTCACATTTGCTGAAATTAATCTAATTCCTTAGGCCACTTTCACAGGTCACTAATGATCAGTGTAGCCAGTGACTGACCAGCCCTTGGGCCTGATTTCCTTCATACATACATTCCCTAGCCTGGAGAAACTCTTCAAAACAAAACATTCACTCAAGTCTTAAATAACTGAGGTTATTTAAAAACATGCCCCTTATTCTGATCAACACAAGAAACAAGAAACAATACCTCTGTAAGTTCAAGAAGATCATCTGTCCTTTTATCCCTCTCTTTGCTTGAGCAATTTTTTTCTTTTGTCTCAAGTACTGACATCTTCCTCCTGAGTAAGCCATTGCTTCCACTGCCCAGGCGCAGTCGGGCTGACACTTCTTCAGATAAGTCAGGTTCCAGCTGGAGTCCCCTCCTCTGATCAAAAAAGTTCCCATATTCTACTGACATGTTTGATACTTGCACATATAAACATACGTAACACATGAAATATAAAACAGCACCATTATCTTGAAAGAAAAGAGAATTAGTATATCCCCAAATGAGTAAAGTAGATTAAGCATATCTGCCTGTCGCTGGAAGAGGGAACAAAAATGGTTCAAGACCTAAGGCCCACAACAGGACACCTCAATTATAAACCATGAAGCAGAACATTTGTTTTCCCTGGAGGTAGCAAGAAAAGTATTTTCAGTTTTCTTATTTCAATTAAAATAATATAGTTAAAAGACATTTTGAAAAGCTTTAAAAAAGCAAAAAATATGACCCATAATCCCACCACTCAAAATAAACCACTTCTATCCTTATACCAAGTAAACTTGTTCTACTTCATCCTTTTAAAGAAGTAATTATATATTATAGAAAAATGCACAAAACATTAATGTGCTGCTTAATTTTTGTAATATTAACACCTATGTAACCACCATTCAGGTCAATAAACAGAATTTTGCCAGCATCCCAGAAACTCTGATAAGAATCTTTCCTTATCGTGACTCTACATAACTGTTAATACTGAACTTAAGTCATCTGGTAGGCAAATTTATCTAAAATTAGGAAATTTATTTAGAAATAGAGCATTGGACTAGAGCTACACTCTCAACACACGTAGCCAGTGCTCTTTACTCTAGCTAACTGCCAGGTATACTGGTCCTAGGAAACCAGTAGCTGCTGGCCCTTCCACATGGTCCCAGATCGCAATGCCTTCAGGTTCAGCAAGGATAGAAGCAGGATGTAGTCTTTAGCCAGGTAACAAATACATTAGAGAAGGGAACAATCTAAGACTTAGGACTTAAGATCATGACTTAAGACTATGACTTACCCTTAAGACTAGTTCTTATGAAGATATCAAATGGGAAAAGAGAATCTTGATCAGACTGATACTTAACACAAAGCAGTTCCCTAAACTTTGGCATTTCTATTACCTAAAATATGAAATAATCTAAAACTTCAAGTTTGCATTTAGTTTAGGAATATAATTCTTTTGGATGTGGAGTGCTTAGTAAACACTTTGCCACTATTATTTAAAATGTTGGTATTGCTATGGAGATCATTGGGACACTTCTTATTCTGATACTTATATAGAAAATGTAAAATCCAATTAAGCAGAAGATTGGTAATATTTTCAAATAAATATGAAATCTTGAATCTGAAAAGTCCCGAACAACTATTTTCCCTAAAGATGTATGGTTTTAAAAAATTCTCCAAAAGAAGCCAGGCAACACAGATAAGGGTTGGGATGGAGGCAAGTTAGTCTCTCTTACAAAGGTCGCGATAGCACAGAGATAAAAATCTTGCAACTCAGAAGAAAGCCAAAGGTGTGTATCCTCAATGCCTGCTGCTTCTTCAAAGAAAACAACGGAATTAGAAATCAAAGTAACGTATATCATATCTTTCTTATTTTTCATGGGCCCAAAATTTTAACATAAGTCAGGTGAAAGAGTAAAAGACATAAAATTTAACTAGGGTTTCTACTTACACCTTCATTTTCTAGTCTGATTCCAAGTGTCTTCTCTGTATCAGAAAGTTTCCCCTTTGAACACCTGAGGAAAAAAAGTGAGAGATTACAGACTGGATGACTGTAATCTGATACATATTAAACTAGCTTCAGAAAGAAGATTTAATAATTGTAAACAAATATTGCCTTGAGTTTATATAGTCCTCTAAACCAAAGGTTAGCAAAATTTTTCTAAAAAGGATCAGATAGTAAATATCTTAGCTTTGCAGGTCTTATGGTTTTTGTCACATCTTCTCAACTTTCATTGTAGTTTAAAAGTGGCCAAAAGTAGTATGTAAATGAATATGACTGTGTCCAATAAAACTTTACTTAAAAAAACAGGCAGGTGGACCAGATTTGGTCCATGGGCCATAGTTTACCAAACTCTACTATAAATGAACCAACATCCAAAATCCTAAGGCACACAGAACTGCCTTCACTGTTCATATACTAGAGATGCTGACCACCAGAGACGCCCACCACACCCACGCTCTTATCTAAGCAGTACCTATGCCTCCCAACCTCTAATGCCTAGGGGAGAAGGGCACCCTCCCAAGCTAGGGTGGACATCTGACACGAGCTACCTATGTACCCACATATGCTGACCAGCTACCAGAGCTGAGAAGAGTTCACAATTCCTCAGACATGGTTACTCATAAATATAGTTTATAAAGTAAGAAAATAATATGTCAATAGATGGAGAGATATACCATGTTCTTGGATTGGAATAATCGACATTGTGAAAATGACTCTACTACCCAAAGCAATCTACAGATTCAATGCAATCTCTATAACTACCACTGGCATTTTTCACAGAACTAGA